AAGGGTAATACTGGAAGCTGCTGGGAAGAGACCTACTCCTAGCTGTGCCTCATTTGTGGAAACTCCCCCTATGATGCCCAGTCAGCTCTCCCAGCTGTGCACGCCTTTGCTCTGAAGAGAATTCAAGGTTGCATGCACCAGTCCCAACACATGATGGCCGCTGGACACACAGCAGCAGAACGAGCAGCAGACATTCTGCTGACACCGAAGACCGCAGCTGTGCTGCTCACTCCTGCACACCGTGGTCCCGAGCAGCACACAGGGAAGCCCGACAGGTTCTCCCACTGGCTGCAAGTCCCACCCCCTGGTAAGAAAGTTCCTTCCTTCTTGACACTAAAATCTGCAGGCTCAGACTGTCTACCTCCACCAAGTGAAGAAGCAGCTTCCACTATGAACTTGGATGAGCAAAAAAAGATGAAGCAGCGTCCCTGTTCAAACAGGAAATATGTAACTTTACCACTGCAGCAGTAAATCGGACTCTGGGAAGAAGTGGCATTTGCTCCCGAGACAGACAGCAGACTCAAAAGCAGAACGAGGCATCAGGCACAACGAAAGCAGAGGCGGCCCACATTTCAGGCATGAGGTGGACTCATTCTCATCCACGCTATAGGTCCTATCAGGAGATTTTTCTGGACCAGAGATCTAATCTCAAAGCTCTGGGAGGTGGAGAACCGAGTACAATTACAATGAATGCTAACAAGTGATGGAATTCCAATTCTACTGATCCAAATGCTAGATCAATGTTAAATGCAATTTTTAACGTTTCCCCAGCAGACCGAGTTCCACTAAACATACGCATAATAATACAGAAAATTTGTTGGAGCTATTTTTCTAAGATTCCTTGAGCAAAGCACTCTTCCTAAGGAGGGTAGTAAGAGCAAAACGGACCTTTCTTTTTGAAATGAGCAATTACCGTGGCAAAAGCCTTAATGAAGACCTTGATGCCAGCCCGAAAAGCAGGCACAGGTTACGTTGACTGTTGCCAGCTCAGACCTCAGATACCACCTATGGAATGCTCCCATGGAATGCAAATGGGTATCCTACTGACCTAGATAAACAAGTGAAACATGCAAAGATCTCAAGGTTTTTCAAAGCTATTGAAGACTCCATCAGCCTCACAAGTAAATGGGCCAGAGGTGTTGAAAGTCTCTGACTACACTCTGCACTTCTTGAGGAGCATGACAACCTGCTAACCACTTCATGTTTACAATACTCAGAAAACTGCAATAGCTGATGAAGTCTAGAGAGATGTACAAATCACCCATTAGGCTTCTGTAAGAACAACATGAGAAAACCATCTCTAGTAGCTGCCGGGACTCCTGTAAGCAAACACCAAGAGGCTGCAAACAGCATCAGAGAGCTCACCATTCTGAAACTGAAGACTGCTTGTGTCCCTGTGACATCCAACCTTGTGTGAACTGTATGCTCCAAAGCCTCCTTTCAGTCTGCCTTATTGCATGCTGCAGAGGTAGGAGCAGATTGGAGTAACAAAAGTCACCACTTGACTTGTCCAGCTGTAGGGGCAAACAATGGCAAGAACCTGAATAAATATTCAAAGTACCTCATTAACTGCAGAAGAAATCTCCACTGTGGGGATATACTCAAGAGAGTATATCTTGACAGGCTGACTCAGCTTCAGGTACTCCTCCAAAGGACCCCAAGAATGCTGGCCAGCCAGCAGAACATTTGAAGGAAAGTCTTAAAATCCCCATGTTGATGCCACAAATCTGCTGCTGGAAGGCCCAGACAGTGCCTCCTTGATGCCTGGCACAAGGAGTGTAAGAAGGATCAGTGAGAGAAATCTTGAGTCTGAGCACTGGTAAAAGTAGGTAAACCAAGGATCTGACTAGTTGAGGATCTTGAGCACTTGATGCAACTGGCAACAGACCTTGATGCCTTGCAATAGCATAAAGAGAACATTTCCAGATCTTATGTCACTTCTTGTGACACGGATGACGTCTCGACTGGCAGCAGGAGAGGTGGCGCAGTCTTCTTATCTCTGTTAGGATTTGATGGCATGGAGGACTCTTTCCAAAGAGTGGATCACTTAGGCAGCTGGAAGCTCTGCCCCAATTTATTACGTAGTATCGGAGACAGGCCTTGAGGCTCTATCTCACTCTTTCTTAGCTAGCTGTTGCAAATTAATTTTCAATTAATCACTTGATATTCCAGAAGAGATACACTCTCTATAATGTGTCTCAGTGCTTGTCCTGTGTCTTTTCAGACAAAACCAATTCCTAGGAGAACAGGTGAATTGAACTGCTGCATGTAAGCTACAGGCTAGGGATGGAGCCGACTCAGATTTGGTCCCGATGGCACATTGGGAGTGGTGCAATTGTTGAAAAAATAATGCACAGAGAATCATAACACTGAAAAACTGGACTTTGAGGACAGCAGTAAAAAGACCTTTATAACAGAGAGTCGTCAACTTTTTTTTTATTATGAATAGTTATAGCAATAAAAGCATACAAGCTAAAAAACAAGACAGGCTAAATACAACAATATTATTTCTTCCTTTAAATTTAACTTTTTATCCAAAGCTATTTACCATGGTTTTTTTCTGTGCATCTAAAGCGACATTTTGAAAAACACAATGCTTTTGCTTTTTGTCAAAGACGAATCACTTTTTTCCTGACACAGCTTCCCTTACTGCCTGAACTATGTATGTTTTTATCCACAGTAAAATATTTTTAAAGATTATTTTGACATGTCTAATTATTTCTAATGCAGTTTGTAATTTTCTTCATTACAAACACATCAATTTACTGAAGCAGTCATTGAACGTCATAGTTTAATCTGGAACACCTCCATAAACCCTACAACTATTCGTAGGGGCATGACAGTTTTTCTAAGTAGTTTTGGCAGAAATTGTAAGAGGTTGTAACATGGTACTACTCACTTGATTCAATAGCATCCAGTTTCTGGAATGTCCCCAGGATATCCCCATTTACTATTTTGGGTAAGAAATCCCGCAATTGCATAACCTCAGTTGTCAGCCTTTCCAAATCCCTCCTTCTAACTTTAACAAATTCCTCTTTGGTCTCAGCCTTCTGAAATTAAATAAATAAATAAAAAATTAAAAAATATTAAACAAACCAAAAACCAACCAAAGACACTGTTACAGCCTTGCAGTGCTTTTCTGCTTGAATCCCTTCTCTTGGACAAAAATACTCCTTTGTATTACATCATTTCAGAAATTCATAACCTCTTAAGAGAACTATCCAGTAATAACTAAACCCACAAGTCTCTGAAATGGACTCTTTGACTGTAATCTAATTTTTGCCACTGGTCTAAAGCATATCATATTACCTCTCTGCATCTGTTTTGTCACCTAAAACGTGTACAATGTACCTCAGAATGCTGTAAAAATCAACACTCACATTTTAAAACGTGAGCAGCTATGCATATGCCAAGCTATTGTTTCGAGACTGTTGTAAAGGATACAATAATTCAGTTTTTTAATTAACTCAAATATTTGCAAGATCCTCAGTCAGCTTGCTAAATTACAACAGCTCTTTTAGAGGAAACTGTATTTTTTTAAAAGAATTCATCTTTTGTGAGGAGCAAAAAAATATTTGCAACTATTTGCAACCCAGTCCCACATGAAAGTAATTTAATCCCAAATTAAGACAAAAGATGTTTAGTAGTTTCCTCCTCTGCCAAGCTATTGCTATAACTTTAATTCCACGGGCCAAGAGAATGCACATTACTTTTAAAATTAGAGAAATTTCTGTACCAAAACACTCCTAAACTCCGATTTCTTAGGTATGTACATGCACACACTGCTGTATCTTAAAAAGGCTACCAGATACACAGAGACATAAAAAAGGTTTAACATCCTTTGCCTAAAACATTAATCATCTAACGTACTTTCACAAAGCAAAATTATAGCATATCTTAGTACTGTTTTGCACTGTATTGAGAACGGTGCAGAAAAAAATGAGGTCCTTTATGTATCACATCTTATTCTAGAGGGAAGAGGGTACTACAGAGCAACATAAGAAACTATCTCCTACAGGTACAAAACATGCCATCCCCACAGCCTTCTCGAGTCCAGCTGCACAAGACAAATGGAGGTCATTATCACTGGTACAGACAATGCTACCCTGGCATTTCTATCCTTTCCAACTGTTTCCTACAATTCTCTCTTTCTGCTTCCCTACGTCCTCAGGTTAAACATCTCCTTTCAGTTTTGCTTCCTACTCTATTTCTTTCCAGCTGTCTTTCAAACCCAGATGGTTGTAAGGACGGAACAGGCCAGTTCCAGCTTTCCCGGTTCAGAGGCATCAGAGCCGCAATAATGGTATAGAAGAGAGATTTTACTTTTAACTTGAATTGTATGCTCTAAGCTGCATTTAGGAAGTGCTTATGGCAAAATTAGTACGGCCAAGTACCACCATATTACATGACTCAAGAAAAATACAACTCATTTAGGTCTCAAGAAAGTATAGAATAAACACATGGCAACAGGACTCTATAGAAGAATACCATCTGCATGTCAGCAAACAGGAAGGACAGAGAGACAATTCAGTATTGCTCAAAATTATGGAGCACATATTTTGTACCATTTACATTTCTGCTAGTGAACAGAGCTATGAAAATAGCTCTGTTCACTAGCAGAAGCTAAATTGAAATAAAACCTACTATTGAGGTACTGGGATTGAGGTATGAGATATACAATAAGGAGAAAATTCTCATTTATAGTTCCCACTGTAAACACGAACCTTTGCATACCGCAGTTCCAATAGACAAGTTTTATTTTCTCTGCTTCAGCAGCTACTCAATATCTCCCCGCACTACAATACTATGTTAAAAGCAAATATAGACAGTGGAAAATAGCACTTTTCTGTCCAGCCTCTTACAGTAATGGCAGGTGACTGGATGGATGAAATCTGACTTCACTCCTCACAGACCTCTCGCACAAGGGCCACGTTACTTAGTCATGTACCTCAGCTCACGACCTGCACGATCCGAACCCCCTTTCCCTGCCTGGCAGGGGCTGAACACGGCAGAGACCCCAGCCGGCCAGGAACACCCAGCAGAGAACCACAACCAGCCCTTTCTCCGCTCCCCACCAGCCCAGGGTGTCTCCGAGGCTCCTCCACACCGTCCCCACCGCGCTCCCCCCTTACAAGGGGGAGGCCCCCTCACCCACAGGCGTGTTAGGAGCCAACCCTGCGGGCAGGAGCCCGCCCGAG